TATATATATATATATATATATATATATATATATATATATATATATATATATATATATATATATATATATATATATATATATATATATATATATATATAGACAGTATAAAACATTAAAAAAACAAAAATAAGAACATTATTTATTAAGAGAAAATTTTCATGAGCTTTAAATGTAGAAAAATTAATTATATAAAGTCTATTCTTGATAGCAATTTGTAGAATTATATAGAAATGTCTTGAATATTCATTTCACCAATATACACATTGCTCCCTTATATAAAATTTTCTTTATCAGGGTTGTTTCAAAGCGACGTTTACAACTTGTTATTTTTTGAAAATATTGACTCAAAGGGTGTTACTAAAAAAATTATATATTTTTTTAAATATTAGAGATAATTTTGTTCTGTAAAAAGATTAATAACACCAATACAATTTTGTATCTTATGACATTTAAGGAATCAATTTATGCTTCTACGATTTTTAAACAAATGGGACAAATGATGAACATTTCTATAATTTATTATTACTTTTTATCAAAACAATATATCTAAAAACAAATTTTAGATATTTATTATCAAATAAACATTGCTAGACCATTATAAATTTTAAAAATTTATTTAAACTAAAAGTGACATGAAAAAGAGATTATTAAAGATCCGACATCAAAATCAAAAAATAATATTAGAGAAAATGTTTTAACTTTTTTATCTTTTACGTCATTGCTTTAAAAACATAAACACAAGTTTACGCAAAAAACTAGAGAAATGTGCAAACCATGACAAGTTTGAAAACATATCGCCTGACATAGCTAGGAGAACATAAGGGTTTTTATGATTTTAATATGCATAAAAGGTTGAAATTTTAAAAACTTATGTCATCTATCAAAAATATTATGTTTGACATTAAAAAAGAATAACTTTTATATAAATGTAATATAAATGTATTAAAAACAGACTTTTTGTAAATAAAACACACGGATGACATAAGATTCAGAAATATTAGACATTCATAAGTGTTCCAAGTTTCAACAGTCCAGTATTGAGTTTCAGCAGTCTAGTATTAAGTTTCAACAGTCCAGCATAAGATAAGTTTCAACAATCCAGTATTAATATAAGTTTCAACAGTCCAGTATTAAGATAAGTTTCAACAGTCCAGTATTAAGATAAGTAAGGCAATCTTAGTTTTCCCAAGGTTTTTTGTAAATATCGAAAAAAACAAAAAAGTGATCACAAATCATTGGAATTATTTTAACATTTATTTTTATTTCATTTAATGTAATAACTTATTTAACTAGGAAAGGTAGATCTTTAATATTTTTTTTATTTGAAGATGAAAAAGTTTAAAGAAAAAAAAAAAAACTTTTATTTTAATGTTAGTGAATTTTTATACTTTATATGCTGAAATCTATTTTTTTCTTTTTATGCTAAAATCTATTTTATTCTTCATCTATTAGGCTGGCGCAGATGTATTTTTAATACATTGTTTCCAGTTGAACGCTAGATCTTCTTGACTCGATGCATGGGTTTTGCTTGTGTCTCTGTTTTTATGACTAGGCAACTCATTCTATTATCTCCAAATGAGGGTATAGCTCTAAAACTCAGTTTTATGGTTCTGAGGCCAGCTGGTAGTCAGGTTTCCTGATTCCAACTGATTCCATCAACAGCTGAAAAATATCAGAGTACTAACAGTGCCATGTTGCGCATGGATGGTGTGTACTTTTGGTGTACTGATGGATTGTACTTTTGGTGTGCATTGCCAAGGCCACATTGGAGCCCTTTGTTACAGCTTAGGGTTTATTAGTGGAAATGAGGCAATTGCTTGGGCTATAAAACAGTGTACTGAGTACTATCGAATCAAGTTCTTTAACAATGAATAAAGTAACAAAAACTATAAAACACAAAAAACCACAGCCATTACCAAGTTCGCTAAACCTATTATTCACCAATATTCATGGTCTTCGAAGTAACTTTTCTTCTGTTGAGTCTTATCTCTTGCAAAGTTCACCAGACCTACTTGTTCTTTGTGAGACTAATTTGAGTTCTTCTGTCTCATCTTGTGATCTTAGTGTTGATGGTTATCTTCCTTTAATTCCTTTAACATGTTTGGCCTGGGCATTTACATTTGTAAAAATTCACCCATTTATCGGGAAACTAGGTTTGAATCCACAGACTACTCTTTTATGTGCTTTCGTTTAGCATCACTTCACTCTATCACCTTTCTCTTTGTTCTATATCACTCTCCTTCATCTCAAGACTGCACTCTTCTTGATGTTATTTCTGAGTATATTGACCAAGCCCTCATTCTTTATCCATCAGCCAATATTGTTGTTGTCGGTGACTTTAATGTTCATCATACTGAATGGCTTGGCTCTAGTGTCAGTGACTCTGCAGGCATTAAGGCCCACAACTTCTGTCTTTCTCAATCCTTAACTCAAATAATTAACTTTCCAACTCGCTTTCCAGACAACCCAAATCATTTACCTTCTCTACTCGACTTATGCCTTGTTTCTGATCCTAGTCAGTGCTCAGTTTCTTCACACTCACCCTTAGGTGTTTCTGATCATGGTTTGGTCTCTCTAAAACTATTATCTCATTCTTCTTTACCATCAGAATCCCCCTATCATTGTACATCTTACAGTGGGTGTTTTATCTTTACATCTTAAAGCTGACTGGGAATCTTTCTGCGATTTTCTTCATGATGGCCCTTGGGTAGAAATCTATTGTCTTCCTGTTGAGAAATGTGCTTCTTACATAACTTCGTGGATTCAGGCTGGCATGGAATCCTTTATTCTCTTTCGACGATTCCAGGTCAAGCCTCACTCTTCTCCATGGTTTTCCTCACATTGTGCTGCTGCAATTGCGAATCGAAACCATTACTTCCATATCTATCAGCAAAACAATTCTCCAGAAAACAGACGCCTATTTATTACTGATAGGAACCGTTGTAAAAAGGTTTTGTTTAACGCCAAAGCCCGCTATTCTCAGATCATGAAATCTTATATTTCATCACAAAAATTAGGCTCTCGCGACTTCTGGAAAATCTTTAATTGTATCGATAATAAGGGCAAGTCTGTAATTCCACCTCTTTTGTATGATTCAGACTGTCACCTCACCTAAAGACAAAACTGAATTGTTTGCTAAGAACTTTTCATCAATGTCATCTCTTGATGCCACTAGTTGCGTTCTACCTGATATAGCTGTCAAACAGGTTGATCCATTGCTTGATATTCGTATCACTCCAGCTTCTGTATCTAAAGTGATTTCTCGCTTAGACTCTTCTACAGCTTGCGGCCCGGACAACATACCTGTTATAGTCTTGCAGAAGTGTTCTCCGCAGCTGTTGTCTATCCTTTCAAAACTATTTAACAAGTGCTTATCAGAGTCTTGTTTTCCAGCCTGCTGGAAAGCAGCATCTGTTATCTCTATTTTTAAAAGTTCTGGAGAGCGATCCGATTCGTCAAACTACCTTCCCATTAGTTTTCTTCCTATCATAAGCAAGGTTTTTGAATCTTTAATTAACAAACACTTAATCTCTCATCTCGAATCTCATAACCTACGTTCTGATCATCAATATGGATTTCGATCTTCTCGTTCTACGGCTGATTTGCTACCAGTAACAACCGATAGGTTTTATCGCGCATTAGATGAAGGTGGAGAGGTTAAGGCCATTGCTCTTGACATTTCTATGGCGTTTGATAAAGTTTGGCATGCTGGTCTTCTCCATAAGCTTTCTTCTTACGGTGTATCTAGAAACATCTTTAAGATTATTGAATCGTTCCTTTCCAATCGTAGTATAAAAGTTGTCCTTGATGGACAGTACTCTTCTTCTTATTCTGTAACCTCAGGGGTTCCTCAAGGTTCAATCCTTGGCCCTATACTCTTTTTAATTTACATTAACGATCTTCCAGATATTCTCACATCTAAGGTGGCATTGTTCGCTGATAATACTACCATTTATTCTTGTCACGATAAAAAGCCAACTCCTTCTGATTGCTCGCAGGGGGCATCTGAGCTTGAAAAGGATCACACACCTGCTACAGCATGGGGCTCACAGCTGGTAAACTTTAATTCAGATAAAAATTAATTTTTTTCGGCCAATCGTTATCGCAATAGTTTAGACCTTCCTATATTTATGAACGGTAATGTACTTGATGAGTCTCCTACCCTTCATCTTCTAAGATTAACTCTTACTTCTGATCTTTCTCGGAAATCATATATCAAATCTGTTGCAAAATTAGCATTTGCTAAAGTTGCTTCTCTTTATCGAGCTTGACACTTTCTTTCTCTGGATTCTATTCTCCATCTCTATAAATCTCAAATCCGGCCTTGTACGGAATACTGTTGCCATATCTGGGTCAGATCTTTTAATGATGCCCTTTCTCTTTTAGACAAGGTGCAAAAATGCATTGTAAACATAGTTGGACCTGCTCTTGCAGTCAACCTCTAACCATTGTTATAATATTGCTTCTTTTTCTTCTTTCTACAAATACTATAATAGACACTGCTCTAAAAAGCTAGCATCTTTTGTACCATCTACTAAAATTCATTCTTGTGTTACTCATCATTCAATTAAGTCTCATCCTTTTTCTGTTACTGTTCCTAAGTGCTCCAAAAACTCTTATTTGTCTAGTTTTTTTCCTCGAACATCAGTTCTTTGGAATTCGCTTCCTTCATCTTGGTTTCCTGATTCATATAATTTGCAATCTTTTAAGTCGTCTGTCAATCGTTATCTTGCTCTACAATCTTTATCTTTTCTCTTCCAGTAACTTCCAACATTAATTAGTGGTTGCTCGCAGCCTCGTTGGAAACAAAGTTTGAAAAAAAAAAAAAAAAAAATCTTCTTTTTTGATAAACTTGGGACATCAAACTCGTTTTTATATTGAGTGATATATATTTAATTTTTTACTTTAATATAGTTCAATTCTCCCCGGGAATACTTTTTCTTTTTGATAATAATAATATTTCATATTTTTATTTTTTTAAATTGTTTATTTATATTTAGCATCAAAATATACAACAAAATCAAATCCTTTATCAATGATAGGAAAGTTGTCATTAGTAATGGTGCTGTTATGTGGGATTTTAAATTTTATGAGATTAATGCTGTTTATTACTCAATATCATTATGATCATGAAGATGAGGTTTGATTTTTAATAAATCATGAAGATGAGGTTGATTTTTTGTAGTCAAAATAAAACTTGTTTTGTACAAATATTTTAATTTTATACAACTTCTAGAGGAATTTATATTTGGACATTTTTAATTCATCATTATGTTTTTATAAACAAATAACTAAGATTAACTAATACATCAATACTTGTATATATCACATTAAGATTAACTAATACATCAATACTTGTATATATCACATTTGTATTACCTAATACATCAATACTTGTATATATCACATTAAGATTTACTAATACATCAATATTTGTATATATCACATTTGTATTACCTAATACATCAATACTTGTATATATCACATTAAGATTACCAAATATATAATACTTGTATTTAACACATTAAGATTAACTAATACATAATACTTGTATATATCACATTAAGATTTACTAATACATCAATACTTGTATATATCACATTAAGATTAACTAATACATTCAATACTTGTATATATCACATTAAGATTAACTAATACATAATACTTGTATATATCACATTAAGATTAACTAATACATCAATACTTGTATATATCATATTAAGATTAACTAATACATCAATACTTGTATATATCACATTAAGATTAACTAATACATTCAATACTTGTATATATCACATTAAGATTAACTAATACATAATACTTGTATATATCACATTAAGATTAACTAATACATAATACTTGTATATATCATATTAAGATTAACTAATACATCAATACTTGTATATATCACATTAAGATTAACTAAAACAGGCCTTGGCATGAAGCAGGAACGATCGCTCCCGTCATGTTAAACATGCTCATTAATCTGTTAACAGTCCATGCCATAATATATTGGGCAAACTTAAAGTGGTTTCTAAATATCCATGACATAATATTATGGTTTTATGCATTTCTTTATATTTCCTTCTTATATGTCAGTAAATATACATCTACTTGTCACAAAATTTATTACTACATAATTGCAGAGCTTTTGTTTTAATTCACTTTTATACGTGTTTACTTATGTTTTAAATATGGCAAATAAAGAAGTTTTTACAATGAAAAATTCATTACTACATAATTGCAGAGCTATTGTTTTAATAATTCACTTTTATACGTGTTTACTTTTGTTTTAAATATGGCAAATAAAGAAGTTTTTACAATGAAAAATTCATTATCAAAAAAGCAAATATTTACTCACGAAGAGATAGAGAGTTATATATTTGATGAAAGTGAAGAGTTGAGTGAAGTCTCAGAAGAAGATTGTAGTTTATCTGATGTTTCTGATGGTAAAAATTTTGAACCAGAATTATTAGAGCTAGGTTCAGAAGAGGAAACGCCTGCATTGGTCATTTCTCTAAGTTCTAGCGACAGTTCTTTAGATAATGAACCTTCTGAGTTCTCATACATACCCAAATGGACATCTGAACCTCCAGTTAATAAAATTCAACCTTTTGCATTTAACGGTGTTTCTGGGTACAACCAGAATATAGTCAAAAATGATCCTCTTTATTTGTTTGAGCTTTACTTTACAGATGAAATTTGTGAGTTTATTGTAAATGAGACCAATCGATTTGCTTCCCAAATTATAAATAAAAAAAGAATTATCAGCAAATTCCAGAATGAGGTGCTGGTTGCCTGTAATAGTTCCAGAGATTAGGCAGTATATTGCAATTTTTTTATATCAAGGAATACTATGAAAGCCCACGTATGAAATGTATTATACCACAAATTCATTGTTTTCAAGTGCTGGTATCAAGTGGTTGTTATCTTATAACAAGTTCAAGTTAATTGACAAATTTATTCATTTTGTTGATTATGCTACATTACCAAATAAACATCCTGTTCTATCTAAAATAAGCGTAGAATCGTATTATCTTACTAATACTTACAAAGAAGTGTATACACCAACACAAAGTATATCTGTAGATGAATCACTTTTGTTGTGGAAAAGTTGACTATCTTGGAAACAATGTATTCACACAGATAAGTGCCAGATTTGGCATAAAACATTTTCATTGTGAGTCAGATTCAGGATATGTATGGAAATCAATGTTATATACAAGATCTGAGCTAACTAATACTCTAAGTTCAGAATATCGCTATGTTGGAACAAAAATTGTAATGTTTCTTATGGATGGGTTACTTGACCAGGGCTAAAAACTATACATTGACAACTGGTATTCTTCTTATGAGCTTTCATCAGTTTTGTTGTTAAGATCTACAGATACCACTGGAACAATTTGCAAGGGCCAAAAAGGTTTACCTAATTCTATTAAAACAAAGTTGAAAAAATATGAACGAATAGTTTTCTATAAAGAAAAAACAAATATAATGGTATCACATTGGAAAGATAAAAAAGATGTATATACCATTTCAACTTGTGTTAATGATCGGACTAAAAATGTATTAAGATCTGGAAAAGAAAAGCAGGTTCCTTTAGTTATCGATGATTACAATCAAAATATGGGTGCCGTTGATAAAAGTGACCAAATGATGACATCGTATGAAGTTGAAAGAAAAAGAGTGAACAAAAGGTACAAAAAAGTGTTTACTCATTTGATTAATCAAGCAGCCTTCAATGCTCAAATAATTTGTAATAAAATGGGTTGTAACATAACACCTTTAAACTTTGGAGTACTTTTAATCACATCAATGATTCAAAGATATGGTCAACAACCAAAAAAAATCTCGCTCTAGATTGTTGGCAAACAACCCCTTGCGATTAATTGACAGACATTTTCCTTCGTCCCAACATCTGAAAAAAAGATTAATGCTCAAAAGTTTGTTACAAAAATAAATTTCGAAAAGATTTGAGATTTGAATGTGTAGATTGTGATGTAGGACTTTGTGCTGCTCTATGCTTTGCCAATTATCATACAAGAAGTGAATATTAGTAAAAATGTTTTGTGTTTATATAGTATGATTGTATATTCCTAAACTTGAATAATAATATTTTATAGTGTTTGTTAGTGTTAAAAATAATAAAAACTTTTTTTTATTTTTCGTTTAAAAAACACGGGACATTTAGAGACCACTTCAATAAAAAAAGCTGGACTAATAGCGACCATATTTTAAAAACAACACTTTTTTGTTTAATTAACAATACTTCTTGTTTAATTATACAAAAAAGTTTTAATAAACAAGAAGTATTGTTAAAATCAAAATAATCTCTATTCACATAATTTAATTGCATTTTTTCAATTGAGGTAAAATGTTAAAGTTATTTTAATTTACTATAGTAAATTGTTACTTTAGTAAAAGTTACTTCAATTAAAAAACTCATTTTTTCATCTTTACTTACTTCATTCTGTTGAAATTAAAGCGCAAATTTCTATGAACAATGAATGGTGATTTGTGAATGAGACTTTTTTAAATAAAACATTTACAGCAAACATTTAATGAAATTAAATAAAATTGTATTTATTTATATAAGTTTATTAATAATATTAAATTGTGTAATAAATACAAATTAATTATGAGAAATTTTGTTAATTTAATTTTGTAAAGCATTTGCTAAAAACCATATGTATAATAATAAAAGTTTTTTATTTTATTTCGAAAAAAATATCTCTAAAAATGTTGTATTTTGAATAGAATAGTTTGCTTATTGTTAAAAACAAAATAATCACTATTCATATATTTTTAATCGCGTTTTGGCAGTCGAAGTAAAGCATTTAAAAAACTTTTTTTCTAAATGTTAACCCTAAATGTTTTTGACCAAAATTTAACTAAATTTAAAAAGCTTTTGTTATTAAAATTATAACTTATTATTTATAACTTAATTAAAATTATAAATTTATTTAAGGAAAAGAAAAGTTTAATTTTGTGGAAACATTTGCTAAAAAAGTTATAAAAGTTTTATAAGCGTTAGCAACGAAAAAACATTAAATATGTTTTAATGAAAAGAAATGGTTATTTCATTGTTTTAATGTGAAACATTAGGAATTTATATTTTAATTAAACGTATGAAACAATGAAAAAAATGAAAGCTTATGAAATTCTTTCAAATAAATTTGATGTAATAATAATAAAAAAATTGACTGTAGTATTAAGTTAAAGATGAAGACAACAAAGAAAATACATAAAAAATAAATTTATTCTTTAAAACAAGATCATTAAGAACTAGGTGGAAAAAAAAACACAATCAGATGCAATCAAATAATAAATAAGTATTTAGGAAGTCGAAAGAATTTTAAGTGTTTTGTCTGGCAGTGCAATGCTAAATAATAATTTTAAAATATTTATCGTCTAAAGGACGCTGTATAACAAATTAAAACTTGATAAAATTGTGTGGAACACCTCTAACCAAAAATAAAAGATTGCTCCCAAAAACCTAATGACAAGCGCGCATAATCGCGCTTGCTAAAAAAATATTTGAGTTTTATGGGTGCGAAACATTGCGCAGGCCAATTTTCTTCTTGCCAAGGCTTGCTGATCAGTGCTGGATCAAGGGGGAGTTATAGCCCTGGGCCCCGCAAATTTAGGGGCCCCCAAAAATTTTAGAAGACCTTTTTTTTCCAGTCATTTTTAGGCTCTGGCCCATTAAAAAGGCCTCCAAAAATAAAAATAGCCCGGGCCCCAAGAAGTCTTAATCCGCCACTGCTGCTAATACATCAATACCTGCATAGAGATTTTTAGTCATTATTATTAGGTTTTTTAAAAAGTTCATTAAGTTAGAAAAACATAATAAAAATAGTTAAAAAATAGAATAAAGTTAAAAAGAGTTTAGCTATAAGAAAGTGTGTAGCTGTTTTGTTGATTTGCTGTTTTATTTTTAGGACCATTGGTTAAGCATTTGTATATGCTACTCTTTATCTTCTATCATAAACATTGGACAGGTAGGTTATTAAATTGGATTAAGTTAAACACATGTACATTTGCAGATTTAAGTCAAAATTGATCGCCATTATCTTTTTATTTGTAAAGATTCCAATAGTCACATGATTGACATTTAAGTCATCTATATGTTGTGAAATCAGGTTACAATCAAAATATTTATTTGATGGCTTTTGCTTAACTCCTTTTTACTCACTTTTTTTTTTCGATATTTTTTTCCTTCTTCCTAAGACTGCACACACTTTTTAATGTATTTTTTGGTCAAATTGACCAAGTCCCTTTTCTACCTCAGTCAGTGTTGTTGTAATTGTAGACTTTAATGCTCATCACACTAAATGGCTTGGCTCTAACACCTTACTAACACCTAACACTTTACTGGCTCTAAAGCTCAAATTTTTTATCTTTCTTAATCTCCTACTGATAGTTAACTTTATCTTTCTCAATCTCTAACTGATAGTTAACTAACTTGTTTAAAAAAAAAAACCTAATCAATTACCTTCACTTCTTGATTTGTGTCTTGTCTCTGAATAATGAATATAATGCTCTATGTGGTAGCTGTCAGAGAGGCTGATTCTATCAACAGCTGTAAAATATCAGAGTATTAACAATTCGCACAATAATAGAGTATTAAGCTGTATTACAATTATAATTATTATATAACACAGGCCAACAAAAAAATTTTTTTTTTTGGTGTCGAGCAAACAATTAGTTTTTTTTTATAGCACTTCTCATTTTGATTTCAAATATGCAACTCATTTTTCACCATCATGTCAAGTTGTAAAGATATTTGAGATCAAATCATTAGTATTTGGGGTTAAGTCCCTAATATTGTCGAAAAAAAAGTTATTCAAAAGTATGTCAACCTGGGTCTTAAAAGAAGTGAAGATTTTCCTAGAGAATTTCTAGAAAGTTTTTTCAAAAGTCTTTAGCTTTTTTTCAGATAATTTTTTTGTCAATGAGTTTTAGTCAAAAATATTTATGTTTTCCAAAATCTTTATAAAAATACGCTTCTTTTGAGACCCAGTTGACATACTTTTGAAAAAACTTTTTTTTCAACAATATTAGTACTTTACCCCAAATACTAAAGATTTGAACTCAAATATCTTTACAACTTGACGTGATGGTAAAAAATGATTTGTATATTTGAAATCAAAATGAGAAATACTCTAAAAAAAAACTAATTGTTTGCTCTTCACTAGAAATTTTTTTTTGGCCTGTGTAATATATAAAGAGTATATATAAGTGTATTTTTATATACACAGTAATATAATAATAGTTTTGATATACTTTGATTTGCAAAAACCCTAATAGTCACATGTCCAATAATACAATAATCAACAACATAAAACTAAATAAAATATGAAACTAAATATTACAGAATCAGGATTTTCATGATTATCCTGCTACTGGTAACATGTAATCAAATGTAACCTGACAGGTTTCTCGCTGTCTTGTAACTTTTGCCTAGGGTTCTAGGTTGAGTTTGGGTTCGAGATAGTGTCTTGATGAAAATATTTGTTTTCGGCAAATATTTACATACTGCCTTGAAGAAAACTTCCTGGGAAAAAACTTTAAGGGTAAGCAGAAAATTTTTGTAACTTTTGCAAAAAGTTGCCAATAAGGCAATGCCGATTAATTGGTGCATCACTTAGTCCCTCAGTAGATATTGTTGTTATTGGCAACTCTAATGATCATCACACTGAGAAGCTTGGTTCTAGTACCACAGACCTTGCTGGCTCTAAAGCTAAAAAATTTTGTCACAATTTCTTATCAGGATTGTTTACTTAATGACTTGTGTCATTTACTTTCTCTATTTATTTACCCTCACTTCTTGATTTGTGTTTCATCCCTAACTTGTGCTAATTTTCTCCTTGTTCTCCTTTAGACGGGTAAAAGCTATGATCTCACTAGAGCTTATATTTTGTACTTCTACATCACACTTCTTACTATTACCTAAAGGCTGACAAGGATCTGTTTTTTAATTTGTTTTTTGTGATGGTCCTTAGACTGACATGTCTCTACTGAAAATTGTGGGCAATAAAGACAGGCATGAAAGCTTCTAATCCTATTTGTTGGTTTTAAGTGAATCTTCATTCTATGCCATGGATTTTTCATTATTCTGCAGCTGCTATTTCTAATTTTTTTTATCTATTTCACTAGAACAACCTCCTCTGCAAAACAGTTGTTATTTTATTATTACAAGAAATTGATGCAAAAAGGTACTGTCTGATGCTAAGGTCCATTTTATTATTATTGTTTTTTAAATGTTATTTACCTCCCTAAGGTTGAGAGGGACATTCTAGTCAAGGAGGCTACTTTATTGTGACTGCTTCCTTCTCTCAACTCTTTAATTCCAAAATAGAACCTTGGCGAACAAGGCCTCTGCGCGGAGAAATAAGTTGAGCAAGGCAATACCAGGGATGTGGTGGGGATCAAACTTGGAATGTCTTGCTTATGAGGCCACCACTATACCATTATTTTCAAACTATAAAAAAATCTCATTTTTTCTTAGAACTTAGGTTTTAGAGATTTTTAGAAAATCTTAAACAATGTCATTAATAAAGGTAAATCTAACATTCCATCTTTTATAAAATGATCTTACTACTTTTCCCAAGGATAAGGCAGAACTATTTGCAAAAAACTTTTTCTTTAACTCATTTTTTGAATCTAATGATCCTGAATTTAATCTCTTTTTTGTGGCATCTCAGAATTTTTTGATTGCATAAAGTTGACAGTTGATATTGAATTGATCTCTTTGTGACATCCTAAGACTAGCAGTGGCTGGAGAGTTTTAAACCAATCAAAAGTCAACTGTTACTATTAATAATCATTGCCATATTAATATTTATATATTGTTAAATCGCAACACTCTTACTGAGTCCTTCTATTTTATGTATTTTCTGATTCTCATTCATTATTGACCTCTCATGGAAACCATACGTACAATTGATTCTCATTCATTATTGACCTCTCATGAAAACCATATGTACAATTGATTGCAAAGTTAGCATCTGCTTCTTTATTGTGCTTGTGCTTTTACTGCTTTATTGTGCTATTTTTATGATTTCATTTTTGACCTCCATACTCCGTGACCTCAAATCTCTATGCTTATTATTTATATTATTATTCTTTATTTCTTGATAGTACCAAGAGTTCTTAAACTTTCAGTTGATATATGTACTAAATCCCTTGCTTTGTATTATGGCTATTTTAGTATGGCGTTTTATGCAAGATTAATTTCACAAATGTATTTGTGTGATTGCGTACATATATATATATATATATATATATATATATATATATATATATATATATATATATATATATATATATACACCCTCGGAATTAGGGTCGGCATTCGGCAATGCTGACCTAACTGTTGACCTAAACGTGTTTGTATTCGGCAAAAAAAAATTCAGTTTTACTGACCTCGTTTTGATGTTTTATGGTAAGACCTTTGTATTTGCTGACCTGATGCCGACCTCTTTTTCTTGAGGTTGGCAAATTATTTACCGACCTCAATTTTCCTAATTTTGAGGGTTGATATATATATATATATATATATATATATATATATATATATATATATATATATATATATATATATATATATATATATATATATATATATATATATATATATATATATATATATATATATATATATATATATATATATATTTAGCAATTTTTAAAACTTTATAATTTGATCAATTGAAAACATTTTAAATGTACTTTTAAGTTGAATCTGATTTTAAAACAGTTTATATTTCAAATAAAATAATTACGGATTTTGGTTTTTAGTGCTATCTTCTAATATATGAAGTTCAAAAAAGAACAATCAAGAATATTTTGTGTATTCTGGCTAATATGGTTTTGCTTTATTATTTACGAAGTCTTCGAGATCATACTCAAACTATGTTTCATCTTTTATCAAATTTTTTAATATTTTATAGTATATCTATGAAAACAGCAACAGTTAAGCCGTCTAATTATAATATTTAAATTTATTTAATTTTTTTTTGTTAATTTATTGCAATTATTTGAAACGGTTTTCATATTATTGTAAATTTAGTTTTACACTAAATATGTAAGAAATTTTAAAAATCTATTCAATGGCTTTAGTTTTCTATTTATGATTTTTTAAGTATTGTGATTTTCAAGTAATCAATTATTTTTTCTTTAACTTGATTTTCATGTATTAAACTATAAAATTTTTTTGCTTGAAAATGTTAGATTATTTTCATTGTTATCATCATCATTATCATCATCATCATCATCATCATCATCATCATCATCATCATCATCATCATCATCATCATCATCATCATCATCATCATCATCATCATCATCATCGTCATTGTCATCATCATCATCATCATCATCATCATTATTATCCTCCTCCTAATCATCATCATCATCATCATTAACATCATCATCATCGTCATCATCATTATCATTATCATCCAAAAAAAGTTTAAATGTAAATACATGGTTTGCAAATTAAATAAATAAGTCATAAGTCGTAAATAAAAATACTAGGGTGATTTTTGTAGAAAAAAAGGTGTTGAAAATATATTGTCTTGAGGCTCAAGTTGTTGTCTATTAATTCAAAAATAGAAGTAAAAAAAAAAATTTCAAGGTTTACATTTTTAGCATGTCCTAATATTATTGTAGTTATTTATTTTTCAAAACTGTATAAACAAAAAAAATTTATTTTTGAAAGTTATATTTGTTTTTAATAAGGTTAACTTAAAAAGAAAGTTCACCATACAAAAGAGTTCCTGAAGGAACTAATCAATAATTGGTGTCAGATTTTATAAATTGCTTTTCCCTTATCTAAACTTAACTGTATCTTGATCTGTACCTTAGATATCTATACCTCAGAGATCTATATATATCTTAGAGATCTATATTTATCTTAGAGATCTATATATACCTTAGAGATCTATATATATCTTAGAGATCTATATATACCTTAGAGATATATTCTTATGTTTCTGACAATATAATATATATTTTTTTTAATTTAAATAATATAAATAAAACAATAAAAAAATAAGTTTGAATTCCCTAAAGACCTAAATGAAAAAATTACCAAACTTTTTTTGTTGATGAAATCAAGCCAAGCCTGAATTTAGTTGCATACTAAACTGCAGTTTTTGGGTACCGAAACTAAAAAAACAAATTTTTTGTTATCATAAAGTTTATATTTCCTTCCAAATGGTCCTGTTTTGATAATCAGCTGTAAAATACTAGGGTATCATTTGCAAAATGATGATATACCTTAGATATATCTCTATACCCTAGATTTCTATCTATATCTTAGAGATCTATATATCTTAGAAATGGATTGCAAAATTGCAATTGCAAAAATTCATTGATTATAATAGTGACTGACTTTAGTTGAAAAATAAAAATCCAGTTAAATATAGCTTTTTGTAAAATTAATTTTAAGAAATTAATAAACCTAAAATAATGAAGAAAAGTTTTATTACATTAAACTTTTCATTTTTATATATAAAATGTAGTTCTTCATCTAATAAATATGGAAAAATATGTTTCCCATCAAACTAAAAATATGTTTCCCACCAAACTAAAAATATGTTTCCAATCAAACTAAAAATATGTTTCCCATCAAACTAAATTAAACTTTCTGTTGACCGAAATTCTGAATGTTGACTGAAATCAACTTTAATTTACCAAAAGCTTATCCTATACATTAATTTTTTTTTTAAACAGAAATTATATTGTTGTGCTTATTTTTATCCAATATTTATGTTTTCTCCAATATTTAGGTTATTATATTAGGTTTTCTCCAATATTTAGGTTATTATATTAGGTTTTCTCCATTATAGTAAAAATTAAAATTGTAATGGAAAAAAATAATACTGTGGTTTTAGCATATAGTGGTGGTCTAGATACATCATGTATTTTAGTATGGTTAATTGAACAAGGCTATGAAGTAATTGCATTTTTGGTATGATGACTTTTTATATAATTTTTTTGAAATTATCATTGCATATTTTATTTTCAAATTTGAGTAAATTAAGTTGCTGTTAAAATTTCACTTTTCTTTCATTATTTTTATTTAATAAAATTTTTATTATTTTTGCTTCAGATTTTTTATTACTCACTGTAATAAAACATATTTTTAGTATATATAGTTTTTTTTATTTAAAACTTTAAAAATAGATGACACAAATATATTGTTAAGATGTTGAACTCAAAGTAGTTATAAATTACCTTGAGTCTACTAAGTACTAAGTTTAAAAAGTTTACTCTGAGTTATTAAAATTTGTTCTACTAAATGACTCCAGTGGTTGATGATGTAAAAACATTTTATAAACAATAAAACTGTTGAAAAAAAAAATTTTATAAATATTTTATAGACCATTTTTACAACATTTAAAAAACCATTTAAAAAATTTTAAAAACATTTTATAAACCATAAAATATAAAATTGTTGAATAAAAATTCTCAACAAGTTGTACAATTGTCATAATGAAATACATTACTTAAAATTTTACTCTTGAGTAGTAAGTGACCGGGGCCCTGGCCCTGGCTAAAAATGAGACTTTTTTCAAACCTGGCTCCGGCTAATTTATAAGATTTAGCAGGGGTTGATAGCCAGGGCTAGAAAAAACTTATAATACTTTATATATTATAATTTTATGCTTACCTTTACTTTTTATTAAATACTGGCATATATTTATATATTTTCAAACTCTAATTTACTTCCAACAAGATTGCAAGCAACCACTATTAAGTTATGAGTTACTTTAAAATAAAGAATGAGTAAAAATACTAGGAAATGGTCAACTAAAGACTTGAAAAGTTTTAGGTTGTATACAAAAGAAAAGCATAAAGGTGGCTAATAGTTATAAGGTTTTTTTGATGTGCAAGGAAAAAAACTGGATTAATAATAGTTTTTATAACATGAAAGGACAGATACAGTAAAAGAATGCAACTTGTTGAATAAGAAACAAGCAAGAATGAGTTTTGGTTCATCGTAATAGAGATAATAGCTTGTTTGAGCATTGACCATGATTGTATTTGTAGAAAAAAGAAGAAATGCAACTCTACAACAATGGGAGAGTGGCTCAAACTTGGCAGTTAATGCAGGTCTAATTTATTATTAATATATATTTTTTTATGTCAATTCACCTCCCCAAGGCTGAAAACACCACTACAGACAAAGAGGCTACTTAATTGTGGTTATAACTCTCTCTCAACTATATAACTCCGAAACACAAACCTTGACAACCAAGGCCGCTGCGCAGAGAAACAAGTTGAGCGCGGTACTACCAAGGATGTGCTGGGGATCGAACTCGGTATGTCTTGCTTATGACACAAGCGCTCTACCACTACACTACAACCACATTACAATTACAATGTGCTTTTAGACTTTGTCTGAGAGTAAGAGGGTTTTTATTCATCAATATAGGAATACCAACATTGTTGCAATTTTTTTTTTTTTTTGAAGTAAATGAATATGTTTTGTTGTCAACAAAAATTGCATATTTTAAGTCCAGAATTTAAATCTATAAGCTACAGCAATCCTTAGGCTGTTATAGAAGATAGATCAGATTGAAAATCTTGTTCTAAGCAATCAAAAAGTGAAGATTTTTTGACAAGACAAGAGTATTAAGTTGAGTCATCAACAAATAGAGCCACTTTAGATGTTAAATTTTCATGAAAATTGATATTATAAATAAGAAACAATACAGGAGCAAAGATTTAAAGGTACCACAAGATACCTAGTGGTACCCTTTTCGTCACTTGAAATAAAGAAGAGTGTAGGCCTTCAAGGATAACTTTATTACTGCAGTTAGTAAGAAATAATTTAATAATCTCAAAACCTATATATAAAGAAACTAATAACAGAGTAAAGACTAATCATAGTATAGTTTGAGAGGTCAAAGTGTTTTCTAGAGTTTTGAAAATTTAGCACTTTTTAAAAATTAAATATTATTAAATATTATATAATTAATAAGATTAAATGTTAGACTTATTTTAGTTAACCACATTGTTGAAGACTAACCAGAAGTCTCTAGAGCCTAACATCTGATATAAGATACAAGATTTAGTAAACTGAGAATAACAGAGATTAACATCAGATAGGACCTTTTTACATTGGCTTTTTGGAATAATAAAAGGATATTTGTTCTTAAGAGAGATATTCTTGTAAAAAAGATGAAATAAATTAATAATAAAGCAACTGCTGAAGATGTTGATAAATATGGAGTAGAATGAGATTTGACTTGAAGAGTAGGAATAAAAGCTTCCAAACTTTTAGTCCAGAAGGAATAAAAGTTTCTGAGATTGTGCTTTATGCATACATATTATGGATGTAAACATAATATGTTTGCTATTTATTTAGATGCTGGCATACAATATCCTTTCATATTTATATAAAGTTAAGTATTTATATGGTGTAGTATTTGCCAAAAGAGAAGATGATGGTGATGATGATGATGATGATGATGACGATGACGATGATGATGATGATGATGATGATGATGATGATGATGATGATGAAGATGAAGATAATGGTAATGATGATCATGTTGATCATCATGATGTTTATATATGTATATATATACAAAATATAACATATATTTTGAATTAAAAAAAAATACTTTAGTTAATATAAATATTTATGCAGCCCTGGTCACATACCTGGTCCCAGCTATATTTTATCAAACCTGTCCCCGGCCCTGGTCAAATATCAACCCTGGTCGTTTACTACTCTTGAGTAATATGTTTAATATATTTAATGCAGAGGCAAGAATTACAATTTTATTATATGAAACCTAGTTATATATCATACTAAATACTTGAAAAAACTTGAAAATTAAAATTAGTTTTCTAACAATATGAAATATCAAATGTACTAATTAGTTTATTTAAAATATTTATTAAAATACTTCTCTTTTTAGGCTAATATAGGACAGAATGAAGACTTTGAATTAGCTAGAATGAAAGCTGTTAAACTTGGAGCCAAAAAGGTAATTCAAGTTGTTGCTATGTTGATAACAAAAAAATAATACAAGTTGTTGCTATTATGGTAACAAAATGGTAATACAAGCTTTAGCTAAATTGATAGCAAAAAAAGAATACAAGTTGTTGCCATGTTGATAACAAAAAAGTAATACAAGTTGTTATTATGTTGATAGCAAAAAGGTAATACAAGTTGTTGCTATGTTAATAGCAAAAAAATAATACAAGTTGTTGGTATGTTGATTACAAAAAGGTAATTCAAGTTGTTGCTATGTTGATAACAAAAAAATAATACAAGTTGTTGCTATTATGGTAACAAAATGGTAATACAAGCTTTAGCTAAATTGATAGCAAAAAAAGAATACAAGTTGTTGCCATGTTGATAACAAAAAAGTAATACAAGTTGTTATTATGTTGATAGCAAAAAGGTAATACAAGTTGTTGCTATGTTAATAGCAAAAAAATAATACAAGTTGTTGGTATGTTGATTACAAAATGGTAATACAAGTTGTTGCTATATTGATAGCAAAAAAGTAATACAAGTTGTTGCTATGTTAATAGCAAAAAAATAGTACAAGTTGTTGATACGTTGATTACAAAATGGTAATACAAGTTGTTGCTATTTTGATAACAAAAAAGTAATACAACTTGTTGATATTTCAATAGCAAAGTAAATAATTTAAAAATAAAATTATTTTGTATACATTTAATGCAGCTTTAATATGAATTAAATGGAAGTAAAAATCTCTCTATATATAAATAATAAGTTTTATATCATGAATAAGTAATGTGTTTTAGGTTATAGTCAATAAAAATTATTTTTGACTTAGTTAAAATCTCGTTTAAAATCTCAAATTTTAAAAAAGATTTTAACAAAGTTGTTTCTTTATATTTTACCTTTTTTACAAGTTGTAAATAAAATGGAAAACATTGTTTAGTTTTGTAACATTATTTTAGTTTGTCAACTAATACCCAATTGTTGTACACAATCATTCAAAAAGATAGATTAAAAAAAAGTTTAGAAAAATAGTTTTTTATGCTTGAATGACACAAATGATGCTTTATACTACACAGATAAAGAATATAATTAGTGGAAAAAGAATAATGATATAATTTCTCTAAATAAATAAATGATCATTAGCTAAAAACTAGGTAGGAAAATAGGTAGATAGTTAGGTAGGAAATTAGATATTTTATTTTTATTTAAATTTATTAGTGATTAGGTAGATAGTTAGATAATTAGGTAGGAAATTAGGTATCTTCATATAAATTTATTAGTAATTAGGTAGGTATTAGTAATTAGCTAGAAAATTAGGTATTCAATCAGGTATTTCACCTTTATATGAATTTGGCTTACATGAGATTTCCATTTTAGTTTAAATTTAAAACTAAAAAGTGTTAGTTCACAATGGTTGAATAATCTAACAAAACAAGAAAATATTGCTTACTTACTTAAATGCTAAAGCTGTAATCAACCATATAAGAACCAAAATTAGTTTGAATGAAAAAACAGAGGAGACATGGTGTCTGCTAGATCAAGGAAATCAGGAAAAAGATATCTGCAAAAAAAATCAGGGATATTGAGTTAAATTGTGGAAAAATCAGTGAGAAATTCAGAAAAATAGCTTTTCACCAAACTTACATAACTTAAGTAGATTGTATGTTGTACGCATAACATAAAATTTTATTTGGTAAGTAATTTTTTAACTTGTTTTCTGAACTTTTCTAGTTTTCTGAATTGTTCTAAATACTTTAAATGTTTGTATTTTTAAATGTATTTTTTTATGTGTTTTTGCAATTAAAGAGCATTTTTCTAAAAGAATTCTAATTTTTCTGAAGTTGAGTTTGGGTAACTTTAAATCAGGGAAAACAGGTAGTGGATCAGGGAAATATCAGGGAAATCTACCTTAAAATATCAGCACCATGGGATTCCTTATTCAGCAACTAATAATTTTGGAATAAAATAGAAGTAAATGGAAGAATCATGGCAGAACCAAGAATAGATTTGAGCTTCATGAAAAAGATTAGTTTAATCGCTCAGCGCTCAAAATGGAAAAATTTATTCAAAGTTCAAATGTAAATAGTAATAAAAAAGTGGTAATAAAATAGTAATAAAAAAGTAACAAAATAGTAATAAAAAATAAAACTTTTGTGAAAAAAATAGTAATAAAAAAGTGCAAATAACTTTTGTGAAAAAAATAGTAATAAAAAAGTACAAATAACTTTTGTGAAAAAAATAGTAATAAAAAAGTAAAAAAATAACTTTTGTGAAAAAAGAGAACTAGAAGAAGGATTGCAAATAGTTCTGTAGATCCAACAAAAGTTCTGTAGATCCAACAAAAGGTTTATTTCACAGTACCACCAATTCCATCACAAAAAGATTTATCATTTATTGCAAAGAAGGACCATATACATTTTGTAATAAAATCTTGCTCATGGTGGCATACATTTACAAAGTATTAATAGCTTTTAGATTGGCCAGTATCTGAAAAGTATTGAACAGTTGTTCTATTTCCTTAGAAATATTGCTTTTATTATATTCAATTGCTAGCTTCATCACTTTATATGCCACATCTGCATCATTAGAGATAAAACATATTGAATCACATTTATTTTTTAATAATCTACTGTTGGATATTATGTTGCTTAAATTTTGTTACAGTGAAAGCTATGTATTTTGTACAGTCAACTCATATTTTTTATAGAAATCACAGAGGACAATGACTTCAGTACTATGTTAATTATTTTTTATTTTAAGTAATGACGCAGCTTGATTTTTGCAATGAAAACTAAGTTTTGTAACTTATCTGTCAGAGTATTTTTGAAGCTATTTGTGGTTATACTTACTAGCTCAGATAAGTCTGTTTTCTGTTGGTTGTTTGCCTAAACAAGAAATATTATCTTTATCTATTGAAAATACAACTCATTTTCAAGGTAATATTTTAAGCTGATATTATCTTGAAAATGAGTTATATTGTACCCAAAGGGCACTGATGTATCATGCAATTATTGTTAGCCCTACTACAAATAATCATATTAATAAGTTGGTGATTTAATAACTGCACTAATCACTAAAATTTTGATTGGTGCACATTAGATACCAGCAATTTTTGATTGGTGCACATTAGATACCAGCAATTTTTGGTATTAAGTTGCTTTAAGTTGGAGTAGTTAGTTTATAAGAAAATAAGAGTTAACTTAAAAATAAATATATCTAAAGTTAACTAGTAGCTATTTTATTTAAAAAATGAGCTTTAAAGGCGCTTTTTTTTAAAAAAATTATAAAGAAATGCGTCATTAAAAATAAGTATATGTAAACAAAGCGTGTTAACTGTCTAAACCCAAACACTTAAAACCATGTTTTTCAACCATGTTGCAACACTTAAAACCATGTTTTTTTTAAAATGTTTTATTTACATAAGTTCAACTAATTATAGGGATTTCATGTAAAACTACTCATTTTTACAGGATCCAAACATGTCTAAAAATTATGAAAAATTATAAATAAATTATTTACAATTCATTATATGAGCTGTTTAAAGTGGCCTTAAGTCACCTTTTCAAAAAAATCAAGTTATTGATAATAATGACTACACAAAATTATTTATACTAATAAAAATTTAAGTATCCTGAATAACAAATACAATTAAATCTTCTCGAAAGTTGGCACCAATATTTTTAAACATGTTAAAACGCAAACCTTTAAAAATCTGTTTAAAAACAAAGCTACTTTCAAAATAAATGTCTTATATATGATATATGCAAAAAAAAGTTTTACACCAACACTTGTTTTAAAAATTCATTAATTATAACTCACTCTAATTAATGTTTAATAATGAATTATATGTAAAAAAAAAAGATATTGAAATAAGAATTGGGAAGACTTGCAACTTTTAAATTTTGTATATTATAGTGTTGTGATTTAATAAATATAGCACTACTTGAAAAAATTTTTAAAAGTTCAAAATCTTTTACTATATAAATATATAATTTTACTATATAAATATACTTGAAGGAAATTTATTTTTAAAAGTTCAAAATCACTGGTACCTGATGCACATGCATATTGTATGCATACCTGATGCTCCAAATATAATGTGCCATTTCAGACAAAGTGAACTAAAGTTCACTTTGTCCAAAAAACTCTAAATAACTGGTTTTAAACTTTTTTTAGATTTGTAAGAATCAAACGTCATTACAATAAAATTCCATAATTTTATTTACGGTCTCCTTGAGATATTTCTTTTTTTTTTTTTTTATGTAAGGGTAAAAAAATTTTTTTTACACGATATGAAAGAAACACATAGTAACATGTTCATCAAAAGGAAATGCAATAATGGGGATGATAAAAAACACCTTTGTCCATTTAGATCATCATCTTGTCAAGCAATTATACACTACTTATGTTAGACCTCTGATTGAATTTGCAGCACCAGTTTGGTCACCAAACTACAAAGGTGACAGAAGTCTGCAGTACCAATACCATTTACAGGCACTAAATTTAACAACACTGGCAGAAAGAATACAAAAAGGAGATCTTATTCAAGTATTTAAAATTTTCAATAAAATTGAAAAAGTAGAACTTTTAAACAAAGAAACTTTCTCAAAATCACACAGAGGTCACAATAAGAAATACAGTAGAGAACAAACAAAAGTTTATATGGAACGCAATTTTATGAAATGTATTGCCATCAAAAGTCGTCAATTCAACAAACTTAAATAATTTCAAAAACAAATTAGATGTATATTTAGCATCAAAAATTAACTTAAAAACTATTTTTGTTTAAATTTTTCGAATTGAATTGTTGTATATTATCAAAAGCTGTCAAAGTGAGTTTTTAACTCACTTGCTGTTAATGCAGCTACAGTTTTAACTACTACTACTACTACTACTACTACTACTACTACTACTACTACTACTACTACTACTACTACTACTACTACTACTACTACTACTACTACTACTACTACTACTACTACTACTACTACTACTACTATATCTGCATCTAAAACAGATTAGTAATTAGATATTCTACTTTTATATATTTGTTAGACCATAAAATTAAAGTGTTTATAATTAAATGTTTTTATTGCTATGGAATTTAATATTTTTAATATGGAACTTAATTTTATAACTAATTAAAATTTGATAACGTTAAAGCAAAAGGCAACTTTTTATTGCTATTGCATTTAAAGAATTTTATTTTTTTGATCCACTTTAATATCCATCTAATAATCTTTTATGTTAACAATATTTGTTTATTATATATTTATTAACATGTTTTATATCAATGTTTTTATTAGATTTTTATTGAAGACTTACGAGAAGAATTTATTTCAGAATTTATCTGGCCAACTGTACAAGCAAATGCTATTTATGAAGACAGATATTTATTGGGAACAGGTTTGAACATTGTTTATTATCTACTATTTATTAGAATTAATAATTTTATTTATGATATCAAATCATCATCAAAATTTTGACATTTTTCATCTTTATATAATATATTAGTTAACTAATCTTGTACTTGGATTTTCAAAAAAAAACATTTACTAGAATTTTTTTAATATACATTAAAAAAATTTTTTTTTTTGCTGGATGTAATATTTACTAAATAGAATGTCCAAAAAATATAAACTTTAATTTTGAAACAAAATTCCAAAAAAAGATTTTACTAGGATGTTTAAACTTTAAAAATATTTTTACATAATTGTGTAGATCTCGACAAGCTGTATAAAAACTTACCATTTAAAAAAAAAAAAGTGCTATATTTTATTTTCCAATTTAATTATAAAAACACTACTAAAAGTTCAAGATATCATGCAGTGCATGTTAATACGGATTCCATTAAAAACGATTGGAAAAAATCAAAGTTGCGAAAATAAAAGGTTGTTTTTTTTTATAGTAAAAAAATAATCACATACACGCGCATACATTTAATGATCGGATTTTTTTTTTTAATACAAAACCATTCATTTAATTTCGGATTTTTATTCAACAGATAACTGTTTACATTTGCATTCATAAACATATAAATTCAAATTGAAATTATATTTCATTAATAAAAATAAACAAGTACCACAAAACCATTTACCACATCTACTTTTACAATTCATCTATTGATATTTGAATGGGTCTTCCTGATGAATTTTACCACATTCACAAGCCGTGGGTTGAATAATTTGTGTGGTTTTCCATGAAGGAATAGTATTTTGATTATCGTCAATAGCTTCATTTGTATTTGCGACTACAGTGGACTCAACAATTTCATTTGTTTCATTAATTGTTATTTTTTTAGCCTTATGCTTACTTGTCTTTGTTGCTTGCATTTTTCAGAAACATGTTTTCGTTTACGTTTTTTCTCTACGCTTGTCAGCAATTTCTTTTTGTTTTGCTTCGTTCGTTGAGCTATTTCATTTATTTTCTTTTTATTTTCATCTTTTTTAGCTATTAATTGAGCAAAAAAATTATCTGAAGTTAGGCTGTTAACTTATTTACTTTTTGTTTTTTTTCTGGACTGAGCTTTTTTCTCTTTGCAATATTTTAACCAACGTATTTTCCTTATTTTTTGAAGTGGTAGTTAGATTAGATTTTACTGCATTATTTATTTCTCGCAATAAATGATTGCGCTTCACTAGTGACTTTGATGTTCTCAGTGTTGTAGTTAATGCTGATGTTGATGCATTATTTGTATTATTTTCATTTACTGGCTTAAATACTTCAATAATATGACAACCAGCTATTTTGTTGCAATTTAATGGAAACAAACCACATTTCTTAAAACCAGCTCTTGCATTTTCAAGTATGAATCCATATTCAACTACATATTTCATAAGATGAGAAAACTTTTCTTTATTAATATCGGTACTGATCCTTAAGTAAGAATTAAGCACCTCTCGCCATTTAGATTTCACTGTTTTAAATACCCCAACATCAAGTGGCTGTGTTAAATGAGTTGTATGTGCTGGTAGCCTAAATAATATTATTTTATTTTCTTTAGCACACTTAATTAGTTTCATTGATAAGTAAGATGCGTGACCATCAAAAAAAAGCAGTTTATACTCATCATCCATTCTATTAACATGGGGTATAATCACTTTGTAAAACCAGTTATAAAACTGTTCACTTTCCATCCATCCTGATTCAAAACCAATTTTTGCAAGATGAGCAAAATATTCAACTAGCATAAGTTCTTCAGCCATAGTTAAAACAGTTCCTTTACCAACCTTGCCAGTATGCTTTCCATTTACACGATTATTAAAAGTGGATTTTAGTATGCTGCATTTTTAAGCTGCTTTTTCTGGTTTAATGTTCTTTTTGCCAATTCTGCTAAAGCCGCCTCCATTTTTTTCTTCTTTTGTCATATTTTTAATTTTAAAATCACTCTTTAACACCCCCGTCAAATTCTAGTTCCATTGCATACTTTAATATTAATCTATATGTATAGATATGTATAAATATGTATAGATACTTAATATTAAAAAAATCTGAGTTTACCTTTAATTTAAGTTTTGCAAATTTTAGCTTAACAGTTAGGATTTTAAAAAAAAATTGAAATTTTTGTTTGAATGAGCAATAAGAAAATACTAGAAAAAAAAAAAAATTTATTGTAGCCACTCATGGTCGCTTATTTTTTGTTTACAAGATTTACAAGTTTTAGTACAATTATACTTTGAATGCATATTATTTCAAAAATGATAATAGATAATATATATTTTTTTAGGTTGTGAAAGACTATTGTTTCCCTAATATTAAAGAAAAAAAATTATTTAAAATTTTTAAATTTCAACCTTGAAATTTGATTTTTAAATACACATCCGAAATAACAATATAGTCACCCGAAATATGCATAAGTCACGTTATTGTACGTTTATGAAAGTAAATTTTAAATAAATAAAGCTTTTATTACAAGTATTTATAGTTAACAAATGCGTTCATCTTGAATAAACAAATAATCCTATTTTTGATTATTTTAGAGTAAAAACCTTCTGACAGCTATTTTTTTTAAGTATTTTTAAGCTAATTTTGTCTTAAAGAAAAAATATTTACAGCAAACTATTGTTTTAAAAAACCTTCCCATTAAACATTCTATAGCAGAATTTCAGTGGACATCTCAAAATGTCTATATATGTATTTTGAGATGTCCACTGCTGTTTTGCTCATTTTGCTCAAATCCACTATAAAATGTTTTCTGGGTTATTATAGTCATAATTGGACATCATTTTCAGTGATTTTTATAAAAACACAATTATATTTTATTGCTTTTTTTTTATAAAGTAATTATATATCAATTAATAAAAAATCATTGAATACATGTCTTATTTAAGTTAATTGATTATGCCAAAGAACCAACCAACCCTGTAAACGTTTTATAATGGAATTTCAGTGGACCTATATAGGTATTTTGAGCAGGCCATTGTAGTTTTGCTCATCGGTTACTTATTGGACCATTATTGGCAACCGCCAATAGTGTCTAGCCCATTACTATTAACATGTTGGAAAGTTATCGGTTTGCCATTTATAGTGGTTGCCACTAGTGGTCCACTAAGTAACCGATGAGTAAAACTCCATTAAACTGCTAAAAAATCCCTATATAGATCCACTGCAAATCCACTAAAATGATGTTTGCTGGGATAGCAATAAAACAATGTTTGAGCATCATAATACTTGAATAGATGCTTTAACTGCAAAGAAATATCACACGTTTAATGTACAAAGTAAACAACTATTTTATCTCTGACAGCTATTTCCCAAAGAATGTAATGCTTTCTGGTTGTTCAATTACCACAGTTTTCTTTATTTTTTATCTAAATATTTTAAACATACATTGAAGTTTCCCATAATATCTTTATGATGTTCAAACTTTAAAGTTTTTAGCACTTACAGGAAATTTATTCGTGACGAAATTTTGTTAAAGAAAGTTCAATAATTACACCCATAGAACATTGCACATTAGCAATAACCTTAACTGTAATTTTAATTTTTATGCATAAAGAAAATAACTTACATGTTTTAATTCACTTCAATAATATTTAAAAAAAATAAAATTTGTATTTCAAAACACAAGTGATATACAGATTTATTTCCACTCATGTTTTAAATTTTTTTGTTGAGCTATTTTATGAAATGCCATCTTTCGCAACTCTTTTTTATTTCAAAACTATTTATTGTTGCATTTATTGTACTAATAGACTTTTTAATGGTAATACTTACAATAAAGTACAATACAATACTTAATGATATGAAGCCCCATATTACCTCACTAGAATCTGTTGTATATTTCAATATATATTTTTTTTAGTTTTTAAAATTCCTCATTTTAAAAACTAAAAAAAATATATATTGAAAATGACTTTGCATACAACCAACCTTATTAGAAAGCGAGAGAGTATTTTGATTGTCAAATTTTTGCTCAAAATGAAGATCATCACTTAGTGACTCATCTCTAGACTGCTTCACAATTTAAAAAAGTTATTTCCTAACCAAATAAGTTCAAAATACGTTTTGTTCAAGTAAAATTAATTTTTCTCAGTATATGTGTTACAAATTTTAAATATGCATACTAGGGTGGAGAAATTTTCATAGCAAAAAAAAAAGTATGGAAAATAATGTGAAACTCCTGAGTTACAAATCAATGTCTATTAATTATAAAAAGAAGTAAAAAATATTTCCCGATTTTGATGAGCTCTTGAGTTTCCTCTTTTGATTCTAGACTAAAGCCCAAGCCAAAAAAAAAAAAAGCAAGAATTTAGAATCCAAAGAGGAATTAAATGTTTTTAAAATCACTTCACCCTAATGCATACATATACAAATTTTGTATATACATACAAATTTGAAATAATATAACATTTTAAAAATGAATGTCATTCTCTTATTAAAAGTTAGTCTCATGTTGATATATTTGTTTAAGATAGGATTTTATTCCCAGGAAATTCTCAGGAATTGGGTAAATTATTTATAAATTTCTTGCTTCCTGTATATATGTATAAATGTGTATATATATATATATATATATATATATATATATATATATATATATATATATATATATATATATATATATATATATATATATATCAGTATATTTATATATATACATGTATATATATATATATACATGTATATATATATATATATATATATATATATATATATATATATATATATATATATATATATATATATATATATATATATATATATATATATATATATATATTAGGGCTGTTCAGTATGCTAATTTGTTTTCAGAACATAGATAATTGAAGTTTTTCCCATTCAACTATCATATTGTGGTTCAAAAATATTTTTTACTAAATTTTATTATTTGCCCTGAAGGTCGCTCAAAGCCCCTAAACATTTGACAGGTCCCTAATATTGTTGAAAAAAAAATTATTGAAAAA